GGATCAAAGGTTGAGCTTTGTTGTTTAGACACAAAGTGTCACGGGATAACTAGGCTGGTTGACCCAAATGCAGAAATGACACTCAGGAGAGATGGAATCAAAATAAGGTTTATTGTAGAAATTGATGTTGTAAAGATGAGAATGAAAACGGGGGTGTTACCAGTTGTGCGGGAGAGTCCTGGGAGCAACGGAGAAGGCTCGGGTTTGGTGTAAGTGGAGACACAGACGGGAAGCGGGAACACTGGAGAATCCTCCACAAAGGAAAGGCGGTCTCGGTGACACTCGGAAAAAGGCACGAAGGGAGGCTCGGAGGAACATGAAGGGAACACTCAGGTGGTGGCTAGAAGTCGCCATGTAGGGCAACACTCAGGCAAAGAGTGAATGTTGAAGGCTCCTCTTATACCGGTGGTGACGACCCAAATGAATTGCAGGTGTGTAGCTCACACACCTGCAGGGAATCAGTCACTGAGAATTCCTCCAGGACGCCCTCTGGTGGACGCCTGGAGGAGGACAAAAACACAGGGCCAAAATCACCATTCCCTGACACAAAGGAGATGTTTTTCTGTGAGGGAGAACCAGGAAGCGTCTTATTTTGAGGGTAACATCTCAGCTGTCCAAACTCCTCTCCATTAATGTCACAGTCACCGACCGAGTCAGTCGCATGTCTGAATGCACATCCTGGTAGTGCCGGCCAGTAGCAGGTCGGATAGAAGAGCGTTTCAACACATGAGCTGCACCGTCACATCGACCGCATGATGATGGAGCGCATCGTTAGTTCATGACGCAGTAAAAACATTTTCAACTGTGACAAAGTGCTGTTGGACTGATTCTTCTTGTTGCTGAATTTTTGGAGGAAGAGCAAATATGAATGTCAACAAATTGGTCAGAAGCAGAAATGAAAGAGCTGCTCTCCATCTAAGCCCAACCCAAAGACAGAAAAATGAGGCCGATGAACGGGACTTGTTGGGACAAGTCAGAGGCTTCAGGCGTAAAAGGCATTTTGATCTCAATGGGAATTCCCGGGTCAATAAAGGTAAACAAATATGGCACAAATGACAAGGACGCTGCAGAGAGCGTATCAGTGTTCAGGACCAGCACAGCAGGGTGGACGCAGGAGGCTGCATCCGTCACCTCCAGCTACGAGAAGCCATTTGGAGAAGCTGCCACTTGGCAACTTCAGTCGCTTTGTTTTGTGTTTTTGTTTGTTTGTTTTTTTGCATTTCAGCTTATTAAATTTCAGGAGGACGGACCTGATGGCTGTGGGCTGGACTCGAACCCACAGCCACTGCATCGGGTCTATGGCCTGTTTACAAGTTGAGGAAAGTCTGGGGAAAAAGAGGAGAACTGAGGACTTCTTTTGACTTTGCTGCCTTTCTGATTCACTTGAATGTAATGTCTTACTTAGATTTCAACAAATTAGGCAGAACCTGTGACTTCCTGGCTGATGGTCGGGAAGCTGTGGCTACAAAGGTGACTGTTGGATCCCAGCTGGGAACATCTGTCCTCTAACACACATGTAAACCAGCTGCTGTCAGACTGTGAGATACAACTAACTTGGCCATAAAGGTACGAGTGGCCTCCTGGTCAGAGCACCAACCAGCTCTACTCCTGTTCCTGACGACGCTGTCAGCAGCTACAGATCTTTAAGCTTATCTGTTTATAGTGATACTCAAATACAAATACCAAGGCCAGTTTGATCAACGATGAAAGAGTTGTCAATGCACGCTCTTCATGTCATTTCATTTTAGCTCGACTATGCAAAAAGTTCTGTCTGTTTGACCCGAAAGATATTTATGTGAAGAACCAACCAAATGCGCTGCTGCTGAAGTGAAGGCCTGATTGATGGCAGCATGTCCAGATCAGCTGGGCGTCACACAAACACATGCAGGAGTTCATTCGTGGCCTCAGGCTCAGCTCCAGGCCACTATTGTTATCCTGGTTCCTCTTCCGTACAAAAGTTTGCCGGCCTACTCCTCCCACAGATTTGAGAGCACCCACACAAATTATACATCAAAACGTGCGGCTCGATCGGGACAAGTGTGCTTACATACAGATTTACAAAAGTCGCATTTTTCGCAACACAATTCGACAAAACGTCGCAAAAATTTCCCATTGAAAATGAATGGGACGGATGAAAAAATCACACAAAATTACACTACTTTTCAAACCTCCACTGCTCAGCCATGCTTTCACCTACAGACTCCATTTAAACTCTAAAATGTAGACGCGCCCTTCCCCTATTTCAAAGTGTTTTTATTTTTTTCATATCTTCAATCGTTTCATCGTGACAACCTCTCAAGTTTTGAAAGTTTTTCACCCCTTTTCAGCCTTTACAATGGGTGTGTATGTGGTCCTTTAGAGTGAGTGATGACATCACTAGAGTGGGAGCTCAGAGAAAAATCACACAGTAAATCTTTTTTTAACTTGTCGCCCTGGCCACAGTTTTTATGCCACAGACATCATTTTTACATCAAAACGTAGGAAAATTTGTCCTCCCACTCACAATGTCACTTTGGAAGCACACAGAATTAAGTTTGGGGGAGTTTTGGAGCCTTGTTCCTCCAAAAGTCTCTCTTCCTTCCCCATCTGCCCCCATTCAAAGACGGCTGCGGATTCTCTGTGTGACCACAAATTTACACATTTCTTCTCAAATGATTGTGCGCTCATTTTTCACTCTAGGAAAACAAAAATACATCTCTGTAATGCCCAAGGTCTTGGCTTTCTGAAAATATGCTCGGCTTTTCTCTCTGATACACAGTTTTGACGAAAATCATGGTTGTTTGAGGTCTTCCCCTTCTGGTTTCTTCCACTGATTTGACAGTTAAACAAAGTCTCTGTCGCAGCTGTGTGCTTCGTTGCCCAGCAACGCTCGGACCCTACTCCCCCCCTCCCTCTCTGCTCTCTCCACACAGATGAGGCTTAGGTTGTTCAAAGTGTTTATTATAAAATCATCATTTAAATCCCGGCACACTCCCGTGCCACTCTCAAATTTTCTGCAAGGAAATTTTCTAGTTATAATTATCATCACTGGACTGTAACGACATAAAAGATCCGCTTCCTGTCACGTTGCTGCACATGCACAGCAGGCAGGACGACAGCGTTTTTTCAGGTCTCATCACGACGTTTTACAGAATGAAGCCTCCTGAGCGTCCGCGCGTCCTGCCAACCAACCAATCAGAGGCCCGGGATCCCCGAGGGCCGGGCTGGGGGGTAGGACTACAAAGACCAGTCAGAAACCAGAGTTTTCATGTTCATGTGTTTATTATGAGTTTGATTAATGTTGAAAAACAATAACAAACGTTGATATAAAAATAAAATCTATGCAGTCTGTGGTCACGCGTTCTCTAGAGCATTGACATGGGGGGTGTGGGCAGCCCTGGTCACATGGTAACGTGAACATCACCGTTTGACAGATGCTGTAAATCACAGACAGCAACCTCAGACTGATCATCAACGTCTGGGTTTTATGGTCTGTCCAAGTGATCGGTGAGCTACAACCAATCAAATCAATAATCGAGGGTTTCTTCAGCAGGCGCTAACGTCTGCAGACCAACATGACCAACAAACCGGAGGGTGAGTCCTGTTAGTATACTGATATGAGCAGCTGGAGGCCAACCGGCTGACAAGATGTCATAAAAAATAAGAATACTGCACGATGTTCGGTACCTGTGGAGTATTTGTTGGGAGAAAACAGATCCCAGCGTACGGTTAGAATAATATGAGTCGTAATGCTAGTTTAACAGCAGAGAGTTTGTAAGGAGCACTTCTGAGTATGTGTGCAGCTTTGATCCGTCTGTCTTTCAACAAACTTCGTCCTATAGACTAAATATTTCTGACTGATGTGGAATAGAGCGGCAACAATTTACAATTAATCAATTAATGTCCAGCTATTTTAATAATCAATTAATCTGACTCCTGTTTTCACAAGAAAACGTTTTTCCTCCTCTACAAAAATAATCTGTATATCTCTGGTTTGAGAAAAAGACATTTTTCATCCTGGACTTTGGGAAACACCGATTCACATTTTTCAGCGTTTTCAGACATTTCAGGAGCTGAACGACTAAAACAACGAACACCTGACAACCAGAACCAGCTGCAGCTCTAGTTTGAAGCTAGCATTCTTTAACCGCTCCAGATGAAATAATCAACAGCTGTGGGATAATGATAGCGACCTGTCATCAGGTCCATCATCAGGTCAGAGTTTAAATGTTAAGGGACAGTTTGTGGTAGTAACTAAGGATCACTGATAACTGCAGTATTACATGACGGTTAATTATCATCTGGATATGTAGTTTATTCTCTGTTATCTGTAAAGATTAGTATCATGCATCATAGGACGAACCTCGAGACAGACTGAGCTCGTTAGGAAACCTGTCAGTACATCAAAGACACAGAAGAAGACTGTTGCAGTCCAAGAACAGCTGCTGCAGGTCGCTGGGCTGCTCAGGATGTTTAGACTCATGTGGTCTGACACACGACAGGACAAGCGATCACGCCACAGCCAGGAGGACGTAGAGGAAGGCACAGAAGAAGCACGAGACGAAGAGACGCCACCATCAGCAGACGATAGGCTCTCTCAGGCTCTCGTCAGATGGACGCCGGATGCTCACTGTGAGGCAGCACCTGAAAGGCCTGGCGCTCCGCCCCCAACCTGGTCCGGTGTCTCCTTGTCACCGCCGTCCTGCAGGAGGTGTTTCCGATAGGCTCGTTGAATCACCGACGCTGCCGCCTCTTCCTGCTTCCTCCTCAGGGTGCTGCTGATTGGCTCCTGTGACACCTGCAGGAAATATGAATCACCTGTGAGGTTTCATACCAGGTGAAGGTATTTCATTCATGAATTTGATTGTTCATCTGGTGTCTTGTTGTTGATTATAAACTTTGATGAAAGAACAGAATGGATCACTTTTTGAGTCCCGGGGCTGCATTCAGACATCAAACATCTACAACAAAGTATGTAACCTGCAAGGCAACACCCAGTGAGCAAGAACACCACTGAGGCAGCAGCTGCAGTAGAGAAACAGGTCAGGTAGGTGGCGTCGCTGCAGGCTTCAGAGGACGTGATGACGCCATTCTTTTACATTTACTAACAAATATATAATATCAACAATGTGAGCATCAACGGCTGAATGAATGACTGCTGAGAGTTGCCTCAACATTGTAGCTGAAACAATCAATTAAAAAAGTTTCAACATTTCAATCAAATCAGAGGAAAGTAAAACAAAATTACAACATGAAATCATAATAATATAACAACCACATTCTTTAATAATGAATGAATGAATGAATTATTATTATTATTATTGTTTTTTTTTTTTTTTTTTACAAAACTATAAAATGGAACAAAATGGAATAAAATAATGAACCTTGGAGGTGTTATTGACCAAGAACTGCTCCTCCAGTCTGGCTCTGACAGTGTCCGGCTGTCCTGACTTACCAAACACCTACAGAAAATAAATAAATACATCATTTAATGAATCAAAAATACAGCAATAGTGATGATTATAATAACAAGATGAAGAACAAGATGAAGATCAATAATATTAATAATGCTACCTCTGTGGTCAGAGCTCGCAGGACGTCCACACAGTGGATCTGGTCTCCAGGCAGCAGAGGCAGGTCCATGTGGATCAGTTTGGTGCTGTTTGGTTTGGGAATCCTCAAAGGATCCTGCAGGGCATCGCACAAATCTGACAGCTCACTGTGGAACACAGGACAGAAAACCAACAGAGAACATCAGTATCCAGCTCTACTGTATGGACTAGGGACTGACCTGTACTGTGTG